TGGGGGCCAACAATGTATTTAGTGAAATCAAAGGCATGGCAACGCCTATATTGCATACTTCGGACAAACGTAGAAAACCTACTAGGACAAAATATGCTTGAAAGACACATGAGGCTCCAGTCTTACGGCAGGGTATGTACATAGGGGCAATTTGACATGTTGAAATGTTATAAAGATTTTGTATGCGGATTTTACTATAAGAAAACAGGCACATGTCGTTCCAAAACGTAGGAAAAGCGTCATCAAATTTATCTCGAGCCGCCGCATGAGTGCCTTTGGACAAAACGAGCACGTTTCAATGCGATGCAGTTTTCGTGAGCTTCACCTTTGGTGGCACGTAACAACTCATTAAATCGAATTTGCTTTTTTTCGACAGCAATTGGGAGGCACGCGTTGTATAGCCTTGGGGACGCCGGCAACTTATTCATAAGTGTCTAGGTGCTTCTATTTATACAATTATTATGCAGGACGTACCCAAGTCTACGTAAAGGTACGGGAAGAGAAGAAGAGAGAGGGGGCGAGTGCACACGCGACCTATGATTGCGATGTTTTGGTTATGATGGGCTGGCAGCTGGCAGGTTTTGCTTTGGAGGCTGATGATGAGATTGTCGCCTTTAGTAGTGTTGCAACTAAGCTCCCATCATGTACAAAGAACTGGTGGTGTCTGCATTTTTCCTTGAATTAAAGGGGAATTTGAAAGGTTTGAAACTGTGGTCTTTGAAGACTTAACCTGAAAATTGTGCACAACACAACGGTCTAGCAGCTTGAACGCCAACAGTTATTGATGACAGGCCATCTAACGAACTGTCACTTCGTCTGCAGCATCGGCTAGTCGGACCACGATCGAGATTTTTCTAGAATGACATCGGGCGCTGGGCTGTGTCCGATTTTGTTCTCAGACGCTTATGCTGCCTCCTTTACCCACTGTTCGACGCCACGCCAGTGGCAAGGAATGCCACCTTATTCCCTCGGACTCATTGCTGCTTACCTCATTTTGTAACCGCACAGCCGCGGGTTTAGGTGCTGTTCGGACATAACTGCATCGTCTGCCTTTTATGAGGTTGCTGCACAGACTTGCCGCAAGGTTACTGCTCCGGGACGACGAACGATGAGACCTCAGTCTCTTCCACTGTCCTTCGTCCACCCTCAGCACTGCTTCGGCACCTCTCGATCTGCTCCACAGCCGCCTTCCTTACCTCCTGCTGCGTATCGGTGGGCATTGTTACTAGCATGTTCTCATTAATATTTCACCATATTGAGCGCATGCTATATATATATATATATATATATATATATATATATAGCATGCGCTCAAAAATATTTCACCAAAGCAAATCTCGGGTACTGATTCGATTATTTATCAGTGCGTGTCGGGGCAGCGCGATTACAAAAAGTTGTTTCGCCCCATCCGGCATTTTCATCGTAAACCCTGTGGCGAAATCACCCGGGATGCGTGCGGATTTAGATCAAAGACCACGAAACGTTTCTGGCATGGGTTTGCGTTATCGGCTGATGCGCTTACATGAATTGATTAGCAAGTGTCACTCATCTTTCTTCATGTAATCGGTACAGACAGTCTTTGCTCATGATCTGCCTGGCATCATTCGAGATTGCAGGTACCTGACCGAAGTCTGATTTGAATCGGAACAACGGCGGCGCACTCATTGCAGGAACCTGGCCGGAGTCTGATTTGAAACGGAACTACGGCGGCGCACCCATTTGTGTTAGGATGGTTTTGTCAGTCGGATATAACGCGCAGTTGGACCACTAGTTTCACCATCAGCTTTAGCTTTGCTCGTTCCACAAAAATTTTCATTACCATCAGCTTTGAAAACATGCTATGGGGTGAGCTGGCTGGTAAAGATGTCACATATCGACTGCTCAAGTGGCTTGCCAAGAGCCCTTCTGCTTCTATAGTGTTTATGCCCGGTATTAATCACAGTTCCATCAGAACCGAACGCCAAGTGCTGCATCATTGTTCCTCTACTCTTTGGTGCCACGTTGCCTAAGTATCGATGGCCCAGTTCAGTTATATCCACTTCATGAAGTTCTTCGCTCCTCCCTTTTCCCACATTACGCCCCCACTTGTCCCCGTCGCCGAATCAGAAGCTATCGGTGATTTCGTTACACACATTTGTCGTCCGAGACGTCACTATACAGTTCATTATCGTTGCATTCATGTGCTCCGCTTGACGTGTTTGCGTCCTGTGTTGCATCAGCATTTCATAAGCATTTAAACTTTCACCTCGACTCGACAACAGTGTGTGGCGCGCCACATCCGCGGCGCGTGCTCCACCACACCCCGTGCATCATCAGGAAAGACTTGCTCGACCGCCGCCATGAGGATACCGCGCTCCAGTGAAGCCGGGCCTAAGCTCTTGTTGCCATTATGCACTTTTGGTTCGATCATCCGTCCGCGCACCAGTCAACGTATGGACTACGCGTTGGATATACATTTATAAATCGGTGGCTTGAGCTAGGTAATACACCACCTCCCCACAAAGGGGTTTCCTACCTTTTTAAGTAACCACAGTACTGTTGTAGTTGGAAAAAAGCAACATTCCCGCGCGATTGCACTGCCTTGTAAGTGCATTGCGTATAACTGTGTGGCGTGTTGAACTCCAGCTCGCTGTGTGGGATGGACGCGACCACCCATGTTTCTTTTCTGTGAGATGACGAGATGACTGAACCCGGATCGGTCGTCATCGAGATTATCGTCACTGATGGGAACTGCTGCATGCTGACGTTCCAAGCTTTATTCTGCACATACTGCTATTTCTGTAGCGTACCGGTACTTTTTAGCTCAATATTTGGAGGATGAAATTCATAGTCAACGTCTTGGATATTGCTTTGGTCAGTGCAACCAGGAATGCCATAGGAAATGCGCACAGTCAAAATTACGCGAGTGGTACAGCTTCAATCACTTATCAACAACTTTTCCATCTGGTCCCTATTTGCGGACCATTATGCCCACTGTTGCTTTGCTGATTTGTTTAGAGCGACCTTCATTTGTATGCACTGTTTGCACGCGGAAGACATTTTTGACATTCCGTATGCCATTCTGTGGGGCTTAGTATTTGTCTTGGTGCTGGATAAGCCAGACACATCGATTTCCAAACAATAACATGGTGTATAGTACCGATGGTAGTGACAGTAAGAGCGGGTGATAATACACGTTTCTGAGCCTTGAAGATTGATTTCGTTAGCTCCTGGAGAATTTTGGTAACGCACCCATTATTCTAAGACTCCCTGTTTGCGACACAATTTGAGACATAAGAAGAGCGTACCTCAGGAAAATTGTATAAGCTTTGCATGTGTTTCATGTTCGTTTGCGTTTAGTTCTTGGTAGGATGCCTGACATAACACTGGAAAAGATTCGAAATGCTATTTGACTCCAGATACAGGGTTGCAGCAGGGGCGTGGTTTCTCAAAACTAGTTGAGGTGGCTGAAAGGTGAAAACTGACGAAACCCTCCATCATAATACGCCAGCAAACTGGTTTTTGACCCAATTTGGCCCACTTTCTCTTCAAAGTTAGGTGTGCTGGGCAGCTAGTTTGGGGACTGCAGCTCCCTAAATTCAAAAGGAAACTACACCCCTGTACTGCAGACACGTGTGAGAAACGCTTGGGCTTTTGGGCTTGGTAACGCCGTCAATATTTGCTTCTTGACTCTCTTTGGCATCACTCTACAAATATTCTACCGTGCATAGCATATGGAGCCCACAAAGGTGTCCCAAGAGTCGGTGCGACATTTATATTGCTTCTCGCAAAAATTATGGCGTGCTCCTTTTGCTCTGTAAAAGGCAAACACAAACACGGGTCAGGTATCGTTTATTTTGATCTTGCATTTCACGTCTATATAAAATATTTACATTAAACGTATCTACATGCCAGAATATACCCGAAATGTGAACTTGTGCTTTCACGCCGATAGTTCGTGTCCTGCAGCGCTAGTGCTGGTGAAACGGCCCACAAATATGGACAGGTTGCTTGGTGAGGCAAAGAAATGTCCAATCCCTACAGACTATCGGAACAATCAGATCTGTTACAGGCTATGGAAAAATCAAACGCCAAACACAGACAAGGGCCAAGAAAAACTCTACACGACATGTATTTGTATTATATCTCACTAGCAGACCAACGTAAGTACGCGAATAGTGATTCGGCCAAAGCCGTGATGTACAATGAATAAGTCAAACATCATGAAACCTCAAAAAGATGCCATCAACCAGGTAAACACAGTTCTCACCCTGCTGGACACCTGTTATGAAGTCATAGTCAGGCAATGCTCTGAGGTACCGTATTAAATGTCTTACAGTATTTCCTACTGCATCAGATACTGTACACCGCATTCTTACCCAGCCGTCTTCCGATTGAGCTGACAACTTTTGACCAGACTGCCCCAAAGCAAATGATGCCGCACAGCGCAGCGCAGACGGTCTATTAAGGCGGGTTGACAGTGCTGCGGGCGTGCTGACGACGGGGTGCGGTTCACCCCGCCGTCGGCGCTGACGACAGGGTGCGGTTCACTCCTCTGTCGGCGCTGACGACAGAGCGTGGTTCACCCCGCTGTCGGCGCTGACGACGGGGTGCGGTTCACCCCGCTGTCGGCGCTGACGACAGGGTGCAGTTCACTCTGCTGTCGGCGCTGACGACACAGCGCGGTTCACCCCGCTGTCGGCGCTGACGACAGAGCGCGGTTCACCCCGCTGTCGGCGCTGACGACGGGGTGCGGTTTAGCCCGCTGTGGGCGCTGACGACACAGCGCGGTTCACCCCGCTGTCGGTGCTGACGGCATGGCGTGGTTCACCTCGCCGTCGGCGCTGCCGCCGCTGCCGCTCCGCCCGGCCGGCCTCCACTCCCGGCAACTGACCATCCATTGCAGTCGGCATTCAATAGCCGTCCCAACAGACGCTCGCGGTGGAATGCGGTCGGCGGTGGCGGCCAGGGCCCGGCGCGTCCCGCTGGCTGGCGGTGACGTATGTACCCCGTCTGGCCAGGGTCACCAGGCCGGCCAGGGGGCGCCTCCGATCCGTTTCTGGCTGGATGGCCGTACGACGTACCAAAATTAGGTGATTTGTAGGATGAGACGAGAATAGTGGGGGAGGAGCGCAAGAGATTTATCAGGAGAGAAAACGTACAGTAAATAGCAGGTCTATGTAGACCTGGCACGTTGGTGCTTGCTGTGGGCAGCGAGGTTTATATGTGAAGTCGACAGCGATTAATGCGAATTTTCTCAAGCTTGACGCGAAGCATCAGGAGAAATCGCCGAGCTTGCGTCAAAGCATGCAATCGTATATAACGTGTAGGCTTGACCTACGGATGTTGTTAACATCATCCCTCTACGATCACACCATTCCAGCTCTGTAACGTTCTGGTTAACGGTGCGAAAACTTCCCCCCACACGGGAAGCTTTGCTAAGGTTTCCCATACGATTACGCGCACAAAGGTAGCCGCTACGGTTTACACAGCTCCAGGGGTCGTATTTAGCGATATCACATGCATGTGCACCCTCATGTTCCTCACATCGTAGCCATCAGTACTGAACTATCTAGGCCCAGTTTGCGATATATCACAGGCAAGTATAGCTCTTATGGCGCGACCTCCTACAAAGAACAACGCAGACGAAGTCAGAAATGGGCAGAACACTTCAGGAGGTGCGTTATTGCACGACCAGCATGCTTTTTAGAATAGGCGAGGGTTAGGAAGAACCTCTTTGCTTAACGCATGGAGGGTAAGTATAAACAACATCATGGTTAGGCAAAGGTGCGGGACTAGAGCAGATCATAGTTAGGCAAAGGTGCGGGACTAGAGCAGATCATAGTTGCATCCTTTATTTTTCGTACAAGTCGGACCGACCGATTCGGGCTGTGAGGTGCGCGCAAGGCAAGTGGGGACGCATTAAATCAATGCTACCAGAGGCCTCCCGCAATCTGGGGCTTAGATTACGTTTAGAGGGCCTGTCGTCAGAGGTCATTCAAGTCATTGAATCGTGCTCCTTATCAAATTTCCCATCAAAATAATGTACCAAAAGACGGCAGCTACGCGCGAGGACCGACGACAAGAAACAAAAATGCAAGGGCCGTGCACTTAAAATACACAAGTTGAAATATGAAGGTGCCTGTTGTTTTGCAACCATTTTGATCGTATAGTGAACCTGCTGAGGGTATTCTGCTCACACGTACGCTTTTAAAGGCGTCGATCACTACGTAACGATGCTACATAATTATTCAGGTAATTTTCCTCTTCCTTGTCATGAAACATTGTCTATAAAAGCAAGCTGGTAATGGCATTCCATGCGTTATAACCATAACCCTTGTGGTGCAGTGGAGGATGTCACATAACATTGATCGAGAGGCTGGCCTGATTTTTGAAAGCGCATAGCCGAACTGCTATTTTCTAGGATTGTTAGCAACGTGTAGGGACCTTTGGAGCTCACAAAGGGGGACAGCAGCAACACAATGGGGAAGGGGGGACGGGGCGCGGTCCCATGAAGAGATGCAAACCTCCACCGCATTCCCGTACAGTGTGGATCCCAGACAAATAACTTACACTTATCACCAATGTTCCTCTACAACCCCTAAAACTGCAGAACGCCACTTGCCCATCAGTGGGCGGGTAGTTCGGGGCTGTCTACTAGCTGCAACTGGCCGACCGCGCCCCCGCGCCCTACTAGCTGCAACTGCCGACCGCGCCCTACGACGCCGCCGGCTCCGCGGCGATGCACGTGACTAGATCAACAAGCACCGGCAGCCGAGACTACCGGCTGCTGCATGGAACTATCCGTCCGACGCCAACTGGAGGCGGGGCCAGGTCAGCTGGCCGGCGCACGTGACCGGATGAGGGAGGACGCGAGCCGCGGCGCCCGACTGGGCTGAAGTCGGCTGACCCTGATCCGTGGCGGGACCGGCACCGCGCGCGCACCGCGCTTCGAGGCTAGACCGCAGTCTGTTGACTTTTGCCTACGACCAGGCCGGCGAGCGCGAACACGTCGGCGTCCAGCTCGTCGGAGATATAGTACAAGTAGAGCACCCAGTAGACGGCATTGAGCGCGCCAAACAGCAGCGGGAAGGCGATCCGCGCATAGATGTCGACCACCGAGAACCGGTCCTGCAGGTCCTTCTCCGTCAGCCGCTCCAGCTTGGCCATGACGTAGTCGAAGCTCGACTTGGCCTTCTTCTTGCCGAAGAGGGTGGGCATGAGCGAGTCGGTGGTGGGCTCTGCAAGCGGCTGCGGCGCGGCGCCGGCAAACTCTGAGAACTCCATCTGGGCGGCCACCATGTCGTCGGCCTCGGCGGACTGGGCCGAGAGCGATGTCTGGTCGCCGGAGTCGCACGAGGCCTGGCCCAGCAAGCCCATCATCCGCTGCCGGCAGGGGCGGTGTCATCAGGTCCACGGACTCGCACCCAGGAAGCCCATCGCCGCTGCCGGCAGAGGCGAGTGGCATCATGTCCATGGACTCGCACCCAGGGGGCCCATCATCCGCTGCCGGCAGGGGCGACGTCATCACGTCCACGGACTCGCACCCAGGAAGCCCATCATCCGCTACCGGCAGGGGCGAGTGGCATCAGGTCCATGGACTCGCACCCAGGGGCCCATCACCCGCTGCTGACAAGAGGGGAGGTTCAAACAATAGCGGTCTTCGTGCAGACTCGAGTTTGAAGTAGTGTAGCATTGAAATGTTACGCATAGCTGAAATTACTAGTGTTAATTCCGTTGCGAGACTATACCTCCACGTCACGTGTTCTGAATTACGTAAAGCCCGACAGAGAAGTGGTACAGAAACTGACTTCCTTAACACACGTCCGGGCGGCCGGCTGGATACCCTTCGCTCGGGTGAGGGGGTCAATTTGACCCCCCTCCCACCCTGAGATATCTCCAACTAAGAGGGCTAGGGATACCAAATTGGTAGGGAGTGTTGATCTGCATGTGAACTCACTTAGGTCAGAGTTTGAGGTTCCTAGGTCGTGACCTTCGGGTCAAATAGGGCCAAACAAAGTAAAATTATAGGTTGGTTTCCAAAGTGCCCCCAAAACCTTGATACCTGTTTCTAAGCAAAAGGCCACATACTCATTTAAATTCAGTGACCTTGTTTGACTTTTTGAAGGTCACGGTGACCGGAATCATACAAGGCTGATCTGAGTTTTACATTTGAATAAGCGACAAAGATTGCGCTAGGCAGTATGTTCCTAAAAACAAAATGTTGAACTGGGCCATTTTAGGTCAATTACCTATTCTGATCTTTAGGAAGTCCATGGAAGATCACTAATGGGGTTCCTCTTATCAATAAATTTGAAATGAGCGCCAGATACTGTCCCATACAGCAAGCCCTAGAGTAATAAAGCAAGTTGGTTTTAAGCTTGGTCTGACCTTCATACCTGAACTTTGGTCAATGTAATTTGCTCATTCAATTGTTGCGTTACCTAGGAAAGCATCTCAGAGATGTGTGGATTCGTCTAACACTCCGTGGTTGCATCAGATTGAACCATTCTCATCAAATTGACTTCGCTGAAACCATGGCCTGACTTTGACCTACCATAGGTCGGTGACCTTACGAGGGATATGTAAATTTTTGATTCCAAACGATCCGCTATTTAAATTTCTACAGCTATGTAAAATTTAGTGCGGATACGCCGCGCCGTTCTGAAACCATTCAGGAAAAACCTTCGGAGAGGGGGGGGGGCAATTTGACCCTCCATCCAAGCGTGTATCAAATATATTTTGACATAACCGTCCAGATGTGGAGTTGCGAAACCACACGAAGGTCAGGCGGCTTCAACCGAGAAGTTTCGAGTGGCGTGCGCAACTGCATGACTTTTGAACGATCTCGTTCGTTTCGTGCTAGACAGGCATAGGAATATTTTGCAAGTTCTACGGCATCAAGTCCATTTTACAAGTAGCTGCTCTTACATCAAACACAGTGCTAAGTACTTGTCAAGAACCACATCGGCTCTGCGTCCATATCGCAGACGCTCACAGTGCTCGTACGAATGATACGCTCGTATGCGACAACTGGACGTTCAGCAATTACGGACAGGTATAAATTCAGTGCGCATGTGTAGCTACCGACTGGTGCTTATGTTAATTTGATTCGGTCCCTTGCAAAAATTCCTAAAAATCTGCTGCGATTTCCATGCGCGTTGTCCGAAAGATTGAAGAATTGCAGAGAATATTGAAAGAGTTCAATGCAGAATTAATGCCTTCAGACGTGAGTCTAAGGTTATATAGTACAGCAGGCAACCACTTTTTTAAAATTCCTATGCATGGCAAAAAGTTAAAACACCTGTACTGGACACATTGTCTTGACAACAGGCCATACGGTGGCAGGCAGCTTTGCCAAAAACGCCTATTCTTCCGAAAATTTGCTTATTCCAAACTGGCATTCTTTTAAAGATCACTAACGAGGCCATCCATTGAAAAAAGCTTCAAGCAGTATTTGTAAATTACCTCCGGCAGCTTTACGCTCAGTTGGCTTCATTTGAGCCAACACTGTGAAGGTAATGTTATGGCAAGTGTTACAATGTTAGAACATGAAACACCTTCGCGTACCGGTGCTGGTAAGGTCGGGTATCGGTGGTGATGAGATCACGCATCTGGTCGTGCACCGTTAGTGATATGTTCGGTGCATCAGGAGTAATATGGCTGTGCATCGGTAAGGATATGGTCGCGCATCAATATCAACATATGGTCGTGCACCATCAGTGATATGGTCGTTCATCAGAAGCGATATGGTCGTGCACCGATAGTGGTATGGTCGCGTATAAGAAGTGCTATGCTCGCGGATCGGTAGCAATATGTTCGCGGCCAATGAGGCAAATAAATTAGATGACCCAACCAAAAACAGGGTAATGAGCCCAGTCAGCACACGCAACCCTAACTAAATTAATCGCGCTTATAAATATTGGCCACTAAGCACTAACGAGGATAACTATGATGCTTGCCGCAATGTTCGCGTACCTTGTGCCGCTCTGTGTAGAGCCGCTTCAGTTCCTCTAGACTATTCTTCTTATCTTTGAGCCGTTTCTCGATGAAGTTGATCGTAGCAAACTCCACCATAGATGCAAACACGAAGGCAAAACACATAATAACCCACCTGAAAAAGTCCAAAATGGGGTTATTACAGTCGATCCTTAAAAATCGACTACATTGGCTCAGATTTCACTCCCTAGTTGACTTCTAGCCGTCAGCCATACACGATTATAACATCACAATATCTGGGCAGGCATCTCAGTGACGTTATTCTTATTACTATAACCAGGTTGTAAAGGCCAGCGCGTGGCCAATGATGAATGACATTGTTGTTTCGTAAAATGGTATTGTTTGACATTGCCAGCAATGGGCATTACGAAATAGAAGTTCTTCCCACTAACCAGTCAAGTGCGGTAGCATAACTGACTCTGGGCCAGTTGCTCCTGCTGCCAAATCCCAATGTAGTCATAGTTAGCACTGTAGTTACCCCTGTCGAAGAGCACGCGCATGTAAGACATCAAACAGGCTGGCAGTCGGAGCAGGACAATGGATCGATACGATCCTCCAGTCAAATGCCGGTATTGTGTGCAGGCCTTAAGGCTGAGAATAACATTACATTTCTGTACGTTTGGTGCACTGGTCCACGTGTGTTACTTTTGGGAGAGGTACAAGTCGGCCTGTTTCGCCGCGCGTGGTTGTCTGTCTATTTCTGCCATCTCACTACAGATGAGAAGTCACGCATATCATGTAGCGTTCTGAAGCCACGCACCACTACGATGAACCTCAACGAAGCTACCTGAGGTCACTTCTGAGTTATACAGAGAGCCACGCATGCGACAATATCTCAGTTGCGCAATACCGTGCAAAGGGAAAACGCGTCGTCCACTGCCAGTCAGAATTCAGTGGCATCGACAGGCAACCATCCTGAGCGAAGCAGACAGGTCTGACGTGGCAGCATAGGCAATTGCCAGATTGTAATGACATCAGTCAAAGCGGAACGAAGAAGTCATCCTTCACAGAGCATGACACTGGATAGAACGAAGCATCAAAGCATGCCTGACATAGGTTGCATGCAAACACATCAGGAACCTTCAAGTGCAGGCTTGAGCCTCATAGGTTTTGACAACGGAAGGGAAGAAGAAGAAGGAAACAGCAGAAACACCAGAGACTATGTCTAATGTCTATTGTCTAGACTGATGTCTAAATGAATAGAGCCTGCTGCCTTTTCATACTCTTATGGATAGAGGCGATCAGTGCTTTGGAATGTCTACCTTCAAAGAGTTAGACGGACGGGGATGTACTGATGTTAAACATCGGAGTACTTTCATCTTTGTTTTTAATAGGATTTGCTGGCTCTAAGCCCGCCAAGGCCTAGTAGTTCTAAGAAACGAGGTGAATGAATCTGGAATCGTTTCCGTTTTCGGAGTCCGCGTAGAAAGCGGTTTTAAACTGCTAATGTTGTATATTTTAAAACACAATTTTCGATAATTTAATATTGAAACACGTTCAGCCGATGGCCTTGTTCGTAGCTACACAACAAACATCCTTAGGTTATTCTCAGGTTCATGTAACACCTGACCATTATTGGAGAAATAGCTTGTCAAGACGCTGCACGCAAAAACGTTTCTGCGGACAGCACTTCGAATAATTGTTCCATCTGTCCTTACACAACACTTTAAGCGTTCCTAGCAGTTCACAATTATTTTGGTAACCTCATTACCGTTGACGGCTGTGCAAGACCATGGTACCACAAATTCGTTGACAACGGGGCACTGTCCCCTGCATCATCAGGCGTTTACAAACTGCATAACCTTGCTCAGTTTTAAAAGACGCGATGTACTAGTGGGAGTAGTGCAGGCCAGCACGCAGTAAATGTCAGGACTTGCACAATGTCAACATGACCCAAGATGTTGAAGTATTCCGTCCAGTTCCTTCAGTTTGGCTGAAGTCGGCGCAGCTCTGCCGTGAATCTCCATCACCACGTGATTCATGTGCAACTATTAGAAGCGCTTTGAAATGCACGGCAACTTTGACGTTTATGGGTGAGTTAGTCATCCTTAAATAGTTGGATAATTGAATGTAGGCACCATCCAGCGCTCCGGATAGCGACAAATCATGAGTCATGCGAAGGATCCACACTGACACTTCACAACTTTCATGCGACTTTGAGCTAGAAGATCTTCAAATTAAACTTAGGTCGCCTTTCAGTGGCAATGAGCCTCTTGGAGTGCCACAAAGACGAGCCCCGAGCCACGGGGTTTCCCTGAGGCCCACCCTCCCTTCTAAAAGCACAGAGTTACCTTAGGATTCTTGAAATAACATCTTGGTCTTAGCGTGCAAGGCGTGCTGATAGCAGGGTGTGCCATCTCAAAGGTCCAAATAGTTTACCGTGCATGAAACAGGGTATGAGTAAGCTGTTCCAATTAGCCATTCCACAATACACACAGAAGCTTTCAGGTACAAGTCAAAATCGGGGGCTCTATAAAGCACCGCCTCCTGGATAAAAACATCGCAACCATCACTTCGTGTCCTGGTCCGTGGCGAAGCTAACACGGAGCTCATATCGTTGACTTTGCTTCCGATGACCCTTGGCCGTACCGTCTCTTCTCACCGCAAACAAGGATTCGAATGCACCATGACGAGCACTCTCAGCATGCCACGTGGCACGCTCTGATTGGTGGTCGTGAAAAACAACGAACAATGACAGACACCGACCAGTGACCGTGCAGTACACACTGGGTAAGGCTCTGTCCATTTCGATAATCCAAGATGTTTAATAAGACCGTTTTGATGAATGGATTTCTGGAACCAGTTCTCATGCTCAGCAGCGCTTGTTGCATGAGTCCTGACCCCTGCCATCCGATCGTGCCATTCCAAGTGAAGGGCAGAATATGGTGACAAAAGTTTAACGTGCCGCAATGCTCGGCACGGTCTGTTCTGCCCTCTGCCGTCACCTAACCCCTAGTGCGGCCGCTGCCACCGACCGCAGACCATACCTGCTAAGATCAAGTAGCGAACAACTGAAGCGTCTCGAACTCAGCCCGCTACGGATGGGTGGATCGGGAGGCAGGCCCTCGCATTGGCTGCCATTGCCTTTTGTGACTGACCAATCACCATCAGTTACTCAGTGTGATGGACAGGCGGCCCGCGCCGCAGCCTCGGCTTCTGTTTTTGCCGAGAGTGTCACAGGCGCCTCGCTCTGTCACAACATACCCTCTGACCCCGTTCAACTTGAACGTAGAGCACGCCTCGGAGCGGTATGCGCTCTCCGTCGCCACGGAGGCGGCGCACACCTGTGGGCTCGGAGAACAGAGTGGGTCTCAAGGCAGGCCCCGGGGGACGGCAGCGGCTGGCCGGCCGGCGCCAGCTGCTGGCGCTTTCCTCATCCATCGCTGCCTCCTGCTCGACGCGCGGTGCGAGTTTACCGTCCAGACTGTGCCAACAGGGCTTGCCCAGCCGCGCTGGTCAAAGCCTAAGCCCACCGAAAGGTCTTTTTCCAGATAAACGCGTAGAAAATTTCAGCGTGTAATTTTTTCTGCGACAATTTTTGTTTAACCAGCCTGCGCTGTCCAGCCGCGCCCGGAGAGACCGCCTGCGACAGATGTACCAGACGGCCGTCGCTGATGTCTGGCCCGCCACAATATGTGTCTCAACCTGATGTCTAGCCCGCCACAGTATGTATCTCAGCCTGATGACTAGCCCACCACAGTATGTGTCTCAGGCTGATGTCTTGCCCGCCACGGTATGTGTCTCAGGCTGATATCTAGCCTGCCACAGTATGTGTCTCAGGGTGATGTCTAACCCAACACGGCATGAGTCCCAGTCTGATATTTAACCCACCACAGCATGTGTCTCAGGTTGATGTCTAGCCCACCACAGCATGTGTCTCAAGCTGATATTTAACCCACCACGGCATGTGTCTCAGGCTGATGTCTAGTCCACCACAGTATGTGCCTCAGGCTGATGTCTAGTCCGCTACACTGTGTGTCTCAGGCTGATGTCTATCTCGCCACAGTACGTGTCTCAGGCTGATGTCTAGCCCGCCACAGTACGTGTCTCAGGCTGATGTCTAGCCCGCCACAGTACGTGTCTCAGGCTGATGTCTAGCCCGCCACAGGACGTGTCTCGGCAGACGGACGCGCAGGCCAAGACCGCGCACTGCTCAGCCAGGGCGTACGAGCCGGAGCTGTACACTCGCACCGCTGACCAGTCGGCGCAGCGTTCGTGTCTGACGATTGTGGCCGAGTGGTCTAATGACCTGACATGTATTATAGCGGTGCCGATGTCGTGGTTGCGTGTTCGGGCTGTCACACCCCCGGGCTGTTTGTTTGGCAGACACACGCGATGACCTTGGGGACTTTGACAGTGGGTGTTTTTGGAGTGATGGCAACGTCAGTGTATCTAGCACTAGCAAGACGACTTCTCCTTTATGGAACAGGGGTGCAGCCAACATTTTCCTAAGGGGGTGGGGGAGGAAGCGCGATGAGAGCGCATCACACAGATTTTTAACTTTTTATCAAAAGCCATCTATGGTGAATAAAACGAAAAAACCCAGGCCTAGGAAGGGGAAAGACGCCCTCCCCTCCCTGGCTGCGACCTGGTGTAAGATGAGCCAGATGATGGTATATGGGGTTATTATCAGCATCGGATGATGCCTTAATCTAAGCGGCTGGCCACAGTCGCCTTTGGGAGACCATGCAGTCAATCAAGGCATTGGGATATGCTCATTTGCATGTCAAATATTGTATCGGGGCATAATTAAGATTGTTATTAGGTGAATTAGGCAGCCTTTGACCATGTCCGTAAAAATCAGTTAGAACAGTATTTCGCCGTGCGACTTTTCCAAGGCCCGACAGTACTGACGTTCCTCTCAAAGCAAGTCGCTATCCATTTCAAGACCGTTCATCTAACTCACAAATAAATGTAACATCAAGGAAAGATAGCACACAAGTAAACTTCTCTTAATTATAAACACAGCTTATGATCGTTGTTTTTTTCTGAATGAGGGTCTCTAAAATGTGTATCTTAGTTTAAAAGCCCATGCAATTGTCGAACACTTCCTTCAATCGTCGGTGCAAGCCCCAGAGTAGCCCTTTCCGCAGCTTTGCCCATTAAATCTTTGGTTTCGAGCGGACTTGTCAAGCACCAACAAGACGAAAACTGATTTTGCTGCATCAACTGTACGATTGGGTAACATGCTTGTGTTTGTTTTTAATTCTTTACGTAACCGACCGTTACAAAAAGAGTCCTGATAACAGGGAAAAATGAACGCGCCTCACCAGCAAAACCTTTTGAGAGCATTACGTCGCTACACGCTCGCAAGAATTCTCATGGGAGGAGTTATATTCTAGGCATAATTATTTTCTTCTAACAGAAGTCGGCTGTTCAGCGTCGTTGGAAAAGCGCCACCGAGGCGCCGCGTAAGGTAACTGGGCGTGGCAACAGGCGCTAAACGCAAAGCTGGAGGTCGCGCAAGGAACCTCTGCGATGCAAACGGGGCGAAGCTTGATAACGGGAGATCTGGTGCATATTGTCGGGCGGAGACGCTCGTCCTTCAGCTTCCAGTTTTCCAGCATGATCAAATAAGCTAAGGTTGAAACGTCGAGTACTGCCCATACAACCAACGTCTGCACTATAAAGTCGTTTACAAATACATCCTGGTCACTGAAGGTCGATAATTCAACATAAGAACTCCGAACTCATAATACAATTTAGCTCTCAGACAATGCCACCATAGTAGGCACCACCATCTTCTCCCTGAAATGTAGGCTACTGCGGTGGCCTTTAGAGCACGGAGCAATCAGCGTCGTTTAAGAAATACTGCTCCAGCCCGCGAACACGGACATTTGAGGTAAGTGAAGCATAATGATAGGGAAAAACATGATCAACTACATGCCAATGATTCTATTTTGAACGTCCGAAGCATGCCAAAATGAACAACGTTCAACGAACAAAAATCAATAACGTTGTTCAGCTTGATTTGCTTGAGATGCATCAAATATGATCAGTGTACAACGTTCAACGAGCAGCAATCAACATCGTTGTTCATTTTGACTTGTTTAAGATGCATAACATATAATCAGTGACGTACATTTGGCTATGTGCGCTTGTATTGAAATGTCTACCATCATGCCAGAGACTCTCCGCACATAAGATAACTCACACATAATGAAACCCATTATGAAACGCCAGCAGTGACGCATCATTCATTTCATAATCTAACCATCAGTACCAATGCCAATGCGTGACTGGACAGTGAAAAAGCACGGCAGCAGCCTCAGCGTTCCTAACGGTCCATGTATAGGCCGCTCGGGACGCTGCAGCTGGCTGCCGCCTCTGCGGAGTCTGGCAGAACTTGCATCGCCGGCTGCCGCCTCTGCGGAGTCTGGCAGAGCTTGCATCGCTGGCTGCCGCCTCTGCGGAGTCTGGCAGAGCTTGCATCGCTGGCTGCGGCCTCTGCGGAGTCTGGCAGAACTTGCATCGCTGGCTGCCGCCTCTGCGGAGTCCGGCAGAACTTGCATCGCTGGCTGCGGCCTCTGCGGAGTCTGGCAGAACTTGCATCGCTGGCTGCCGCCTCTGCGGAGTTTGGCATCGCTGACTGCGGTCTCTGCGGAGTCTGGCAGAACTTGCACCGCTGGCTGCGACCCCTGCGGATTCTGGCAGCACTCACCGCTGGCTGCTGCCTCTGCGAAGTCTGGCAGCATTCGCGCCGCAGTCGCCATGTAGTCCAAGGTAGGCACGGCGCAGACGAATCCTCACCCGTATCTCTCAGCCAGGAAGGCATCAGCAGGTCCGGGCCTCGGCAGTAGCAGGTAGTCTGTCTCGGCAGCATCAGCGGTCCGGTCAAGTTAGCCAGCCAGTCAGGAAGGCGATGTCGTGATGACTTGGCGCATTACGATTGCATCCTACACACACACTCTGTTGTGAGAAGCAACTGGGTTTGCATTCCGTACAACGTAGCCACTGATTACCAAGACTGTTCAGCACGAAAATCCAATAGCATGGCGTCTGATCTAGTCAGGATCCTATAGAGTCGTTAGATCCGCAACGACTCAATAACGCGTGCCGAAGAATCGAGCGCCTAACAAGTGAAATGTTATCATGTGTACCTACTCACCAGATCGGCAATAATCGCTCTCAAATATCCCCATAATCTTCCGCAAGGAATTCCAAGAAGAGCATTGAGAAGACATCGGAGATGCAACGCATCGACCGATGGAAATGTGAGACGTTTGGGCCTTGTGGCGGCCGCTCGAACATCCCCTAAAATTCTGCCGCCGGCGCCGCCGGCGGCCCAGCCCAGTCCATCCACCGACCCCCTCAAACGTGCCCGCCCGACCGGCCGAATTGTTCGACCACACACTGCCGGCCAGCAATCAATACCAAATGGCGTGTTTCAATTAGAGGCGCCGCCCTCATCGGACTCTTAATCTCGTTTTGCCGGGCGTTATCAGTGAAGCTGGCACGAGCAGAGTGGTGGCGCGGCCGGACCTTGAGTGAGTGCAAACACGACTTGGGGCCCCGATGAACAGCGACGGGCATGTTCCGGGCGGCGTTCTATAGCCCCGGAGTACCCTGCTGTTGTCCCGAGCGAGCCGATGTGAACGGACTGGTCGCCAGGTTATAACAAGCGTGCGCTGCCTTTGGCGTGAGGCTCGGCGCGAAATGAACCAGCTTCGATCGTCAGCAAACTTACTGGATGTTCCTAACAGCAGCGCTGCTACCCAAGAATGCAAGTGGACACTTAGAGCGACGCGCGAGACCTCCTAACACATAACTCTGCTGCGCTGTTGGAGTCTCAGCGAGTGCTGTCGGGCCCCGGCGCCGTCGCTAACCAGCGACTGGTTTTGGCCACTGTAGTCCGTTCGATTCACGTGTTCACTTTGAAGCCGTGCAGCCATCGACATGATTCACGAATTGTTGAGCGTCTGGACTTAATTAACCAATATGAAACACGGGACGTGGAACGTGAAGCATGGAGTATGGAGAGTAAGAGAGAAAGAGAGATAATGGGAGGGAGAGAGGGTGAGACGGACAGAGACGGCGAGAGAGAGAGAGAGAGAGAGAGAGAGAGAGAGAGAGAGAGAGAGAGAGAGAGAGAGAGAGAGAGAGAGAGAGAGAGAGAGAGAGAGAGAGAGAGAGAGAGAGAGAGAGAGAGAGAAAAGAAAATAGAAAAAATAGGCAAAGAGGCCGGCAGAGAAGGGAAGAGAGAGAGAGAGAGAGGCAGAGGAATAAAGAGAAAGACAGAGGGGAGAGGGCAAGAGAGCGGGGCGGACAAGAGAAAAACAGACAGACAAGCAGACCGACAGACAGACAGAGAGGCGGACAACCAGACAGAGAGGCAGACAACCAGACAGTGGGAAGCAGCGCGAAAAAAACAAGTTTAAGAAAAGAGGTTCAACGAACTACATAGACAAGCAACGAGCGTTCTGAACATGCCGACTGAGCGCTGCTGACTCGCGGGCTTCCCGGCACTAAGCCGAGCACACGACCGGCGCCGGACGCGCTGGAGGGATCGTAGCAGCGGACGTGCAGCCACCATAAAACATTGGCTGTTGCGAGTGGACGCGGCTGAACTCACCGAGGTTGACTCGGCCCGGCACGTCACGCTTGGTGATCCAGAAGCTGACCCAGGAGCAGCTGACGATCAGCACACAGGGGATGTACACTTGCAGCAGGAAGTAGCCCGTGAGGCGCTTCAGTTGGAAGTGTACCACCAGCGTGGAGATCTCCTCTGAGGATATCAACGAACAGACCTGACCAGAGCCGTCTCGGCAGGCAGGCGCGCTAGCTCTCGCGGTTTGCTAGCAGGTGAACGTGCCCACCGTTGGTGGCTGCATGCATAAAGGTTAAATGTTAAGGCGCATTATGCAGACGGTCTGTGAACGGTATCATTTTTGGCGCCTGAAATCTTTTGAGCGATTTATATGGAAATTAGCTACTCAACTGTGGCCTCGCGACCATATTACGACAAAAATGCATATGCCATAGATTCACTGGGAATGTTTAATCACATGCAGGCCAGACACCATGTTGAATTGAAGAAAAAGCCGGCACCTCTTGTTCGTCACAACCCATCCTGATTCACGAAATACCTCAGTAAATCGCTACGGAGTTAACAATCCGACATATGACGTCACTGGGTCTGGCGGCCAGCGCTCATTCGAGCCGGTCCCGGATACAGAGAAGGGAGAATTACTCATTCGGGCGTTGTAAAACGCGTCCATGGCCATTTGTGCCATTTGGCGTGATTTGTAGTTGATGTCCATTCCTTTATGAGGCAGTAGAGAGCTGGCCGTTCTTTGTCATGGGTGATGCATCAGCCATTTTCTTCTTCACGATCATCTTCCCATTGTGTACTTTACCTCTTCGGCACAACGTGATGGCTTTGTTGTAAGAGCTGCTGCTGCTGCAGACGCACAGCGTGTAGAGGACGAGAGTGCGGGTAGCCCAATTTAAATAGCAATGTATGTTCCTCGTGCTATGTTATGCTGCATGCCTCATTGGCCCTGCAAAACTCGTTAGCTTTGTAACAAATGGTGGAAACAAACGGAAGTTGAAAGCAAATTTACAAACCCTTTCCATTCTTATAGCTGTTTAGAAAATCAAAGTTCAAAATCATTGACATTGCAGCCAGCAGTTGAATGAGCCTGAGCCAAGGTGCATGGGTATTGATCTGAACACGCGTCAGCCCGATGGCGCGCTCCGTGACAATAACGAGCTCTGCATGTGGTGCTGAATTGCTCCGCTAGAGAGACGAAACTCAGCCCAAAAGCCAGCAATGCACATACCACATATGGACAAGCATGCATCTTTGCGAGGGTCGAAACATAGTTGCTTCTAGCAAATGCAAAGTGCAAAGTGCAAGTGCATAGGTAGTGAAAAACATATTGTAAGCACTCGCTAGATTCCCTCCGAGCGCTGTGCTGCTTGCTTTTCAGCCTGCTCCGGCTCGACGCTGTCGCGTCAACGAGTGCTGGGCTGCCACACCATGGCATTGAAGCTCACACTCCATGCACGTGGAATCATAAATTTGATAGCTAAAAAATATGAGGAAATAGCTGATACAATTACTACGTTGTGTTAACATCGAACATTTCGTTATGCAGTGCTAAGATAGTGGAAACTCTTGCATGAACACAAAGAAGGGAATTTTAAAGGGCGTGTTCCATCGAGAGGATATGCATTGTAGCACACGCATTTGCCAGGTCATGCTCTGATCATATACCCATCGAGGAATGTGGCCATGACACCATATTAAAGAAATGCGTCTAGAGAGTGTGCAATGCATAGGAGGCCAAGCAACGAAATCGTGCGAGCCAAGTAGTGCTGACACAGTGAACCGTGTACTCCTACCGTCAAACCTATGTTCTGAAAATAAAACAAGTCGGTCAGGAACAATACATTGGCGATCGCCAGAACAATGCCATAAATCGTCTTTTCAAACACGATTGCATTATAAATACACACCGTATGGATAATCCCGCAGGTTCAGTCCTATAATGGAACCTGGAACCCATGTTATCACACCGTAGGCATTCAAAATGTTTTGGACTTTGCAAATTGGCAATAAGGATACAAAGAGCTGCAAGGCGGCCCCATAGACCAAAATACCTAAAGCCAGGCTGTGCGTATACATCCTCCAAAACGAAGGGTGGTTACACATCGGGTTTATGAACACGCAAAAATGGAGGGGAAGCCACTCACCGAGCTTATACGCCTTCCAAAAATCTTGGGGATGGTTATATGCACCAGGCGTACGCGCACTTCCAGACCTAGAGGGTTGCGAGTGCAAGCATACAAAAATTTACAAAGAAACTCATATAGAGTTATGACTTGAACCCTATGAGATAGCTTAAAGCTTCATGGTAAAGATATGTCAAAACCTTGATTTTGGAATCACGTAACTTTTATTTCCAAAAGTGACCAAATTACTTGTGCACCAAAAGTGGCCCAGATCTTCTTTTTCGAGATGCCCAAAAGTCCAATGTCCGTGCCATGTTCATTGATAAAATTCGGAATCGGTGCATTCTGAGAAGCAATAAGATACCCCCATTTCGGAGAACTGTTGTAGTCTTTGTTTACAAGAGTTTCGGGGAATTGTTGTAGTCTTTGTTTACAAGAGACACACAATTCCAGAATGCACCATAGAGAGGCCCAAACTTGCATTCCCAAGGGGCAACAAATTCAAGGGGGCACCGGTGCTACACTGTGCGGTAGAATACTATGTGCGTATGCTATAATGCCTCTTCATTGACGAAATTCCGATTTGCGTATCCAGTGAGTGGGCAACAAAATATTCACTTTGGGGCATCTTAATATTAACTTTCTAGATATACCAAACACAGGCAAGCCATTTAAAGGGCCTTGAAACTTAGATTCTCAAGGGACACCAAAATCCAGGGGTACCACCGTCATTTTGCTTTCCAGCCTGAAGAAACATTGGACAGGCCGCTCTAGCGAAGGAGCACAGAAAAGTCCTTCCTTTCGATACATCATAACCCGTATTTTCAAAAGGCACCCCATTCCAGGGGCACGACAAATAGCCCCAAATCTTCAATTTCAAGAGACGACCATTCTAGGTGGTGTTGCAATGACCATGCCCGTTAATGAAATCCTGGATCGGCCATTCGGCGAGGACCATCCGACCGTTTCAACCACAGGGCCGATAAGCCGAATTGGCGTTTCGATGCAAGTTATTAGACTCCCTGCACCGTTTTGCGATCATTGGTGTACATCATGATCTCATTAGTGAACATTTTCTTATCTCCGGCATATGACAAAGAGCATCACGAGATGCGCAACGTAATGTACATTTTAACTGACCAGTGTTCACTTCCCACTGCTTGCTCCCGGCAATCGGTAGAGCTTGAAATAAACAATGTATTGGTAGCTCAATTAACCGTCGTGATGCTGCTGATAAAGGCGCCAGCCGGCTGGAAAGAGCGCAATGTTTGCACGCACGCCGGCAACGCCAGCGTAGACCGTGCCGTCGTGACGTAATGCTAGTGTATGGGCCGTGGTGGCCGGGTGGGCGTCACCAGCGGCGTTCTGGACATCGCCGCACATCATTTTGGAACCCTGGCCGCGGTTTTACGCCAGCTTCCAGGATTTTTGGGGGGACATGGAGGATGCATAAGCCCGATGCGTAATCGCCCTCCGTTTTGAGGAGTGTATACGGACGGTCAATGCTTTTAAGCCCAGGAGTTGCTCACCGCAGTGTTGATAGATGAAAACTACTCGTGTGTCACGGACACAGCACGTTCTTTCTCTTTTAAACACAACTGGCCACCAGGACTGGCCAGTGACCTCCAACTGACCTCTGCGCCGTGTCCGCTTCAAACTCTCAAAGGTGGTGATGTTCTGCACCTCGTACTGCGCCAGGCTGACTCCCTTGTTGAGTGACACTGGCCCAGCCGTGTCCCAGATGTAAGTGACGTCACTGGTGCTGTACCCGTCTGCGGCAACCATCGTCACGCGTTTTGGCCCGTGAAGTGCAGAGCTTCCTATAGTGATCCTTCAGTTGCGTAAAGGGGCTACGTTGCACAATTCATTAGGCAAAGGGTAACAAGGCACCAGCCCCTATGCATTCAGCACTTATGGGTGTTATTGTCCCACACTCTAGCACACCAGTTGTTATGACTTGTAAGTGCCCCTGGAATTCCTGCCGCAGTGTGCAAAACAAGAAAAACGATTAACACCAGGACAGTCATTTGTGGTGATCTAAGAACCTATGAAAATTAAACATTAAAAAGCGATGCACAAAACATGGCGATGCCAGGCAGCACGATAGCAAGGATTCGTATTGCTCCAAAATATTCAAAGTAAACCATTGAGAGGCCACCCAGATTGCTAGATCGACGGATGCTCTTACATGATCCTATTTCCAGTGGGCAGAGCTGACTGTCGAGTGGAAACTTCTTCAGATGCATCGGGCAAGATGCCTTTATGGTCAGCCTGAAATACATCAATGGAGGAAGCAATAACAAATCTACTTCTTTGGTATGTAAGGCTGGTGCGACTGGGAATACACGTCTGACGAGGCTTTTTCACCCGAAGATAAATAAACAGCCACGTGATCTAGGATAGCCGTATTTAACAAATGAATGTTGATAGGTTGATGTAAAACATTTTTTGCCGCACCATGCTTTTGTCTTTTCTTTCCAACTGATGGATTGATTTTCATTGGCGAGCTAGGAAGTTTGTATTTGATAATAATTACGCTCCAGGGATCGATTTTCGAGTGTTTAACTAAACACATCCCCCATCTTGCCATTTTTGGAGAATACATGTGATGTAAAAATTAAAGACTCTCACGACATCCACAATATTCGACTGATCATAACGGACTGCGACACGAAGATGCCGTTATCTGAAAACATCGTGTAAAGTAAAATAAAATATTGCATCGTATATATTAAAGCAATGACATTAAACCCACATGTGCAATAGGTCCAAGCGAGAAAGAAAGAGCTGACTGATGTTCCAATCCGTGTGCACACAAACCATCCCAATACCTTGGTTCCCTCAGAGCGACACTGAATGTCTTTCGAATTTGCCATCTGCCGTGGCAAAACGCTTAAACAGTCCGCTGGGAACAGAAGGGCAGGGAACCCTTGGCCCGCAGCTGTGGCCGAACTGCGTGACCGTAGACTCAGATTTAGACGGAGTCATCACTTAGACATAGACATAGACATAAACGTACATAAAGCGCGGCTCACCTCATAGAGTACGTCAATTCACCATTTTGCTTGATGCGAAGGAATTTGTTGGGGACAGTAATCTTGTGAAGGTATGATTTCTTGCCATTCAGGAAGTACGTGTCTGGTTTCCACACCTGAAAGAAGGCTTGTCATTCAGTTACACATAGCCTAGCAGACAAAGCAGCCAGCCGCTGGTAGGTCGCCCATTAGCTGACTTGCGGTCGGTGATGAATGACTCAGGGCTCGCCTCGCTTTGTATACAACCCGAGGGACGGGCGAACGATAGGGCGTGTCATTGGGGTCAGGGACGTTAACTCGGCGGGTCATTAGGGTCATCAGGATAGTCAAATCATAAGGCGACAGTTTTTATGTTGACCCCAGTCTTTCTGAACCAGCAAACCAGGGTTATCTTTAACCCCGAGGATTGTAATTAACCCTCACCAAGTTTCCAAATTGACTTGTGAACTGTTTCACTGAAGACCACACAGTTACCGACACCCTTCGGATCATTACTTTGACGTATCCGCGAGAAAAATCAACGCTGTTTGAGATCACGGAATCAAACCGTCATCAGTGAAGACTTGCAACACAATGATCTTTGATTGCCCGCAAGCAGCAATCCAAGAATGTATTTCATGTGCCTGGTTTTGTGATATAATCCATCGACTTATTTGACGGGACGTCACTCAGGGTCAGCCGTGCAGGACGGGGTCACAACAGGACACCAGTAAACGTCATGTGGGGTCAACTTATAAGTGTCCAACCACATGAAGTTGTGTTCACCACTCGTGACAAAAAGGTCGTGACAACTAACGCATTTGCGAAACCAGTAACTAATATCGATCACGTGAGAGAGGGACCTAGAACTAATACTCATTGTGCTGACCTGATCTTTATAAGACTTGAGCTTGGACTTGGCTTATCTCGATTTTTCACCTTTAATAAAATTATCATGATTATGACGCTCAAGAACAATCTTTTTGTTTTGTACCAGTCACAAAGCTTCATGACCGTCATTACGTGAGCTAGAGGGCTTGAAGTCGCTGCAAATTTGGGAGATTTATCAGATGTTTTGCGTGCCTGCACCATTAGCCATCTCGTGATTCAGGCCAACTTCATGTTTCCTGCCGGAGATTGAACGGAAATATCTGTCACTTTTACATTTTTCCGATCTGGCAAATGGGACCTTGAGACAGCAGTGGGTAAAAAACACTGTGCTACGCTTGTTGGTGAGACACTCTTGGCGGTGCTTGGCTGAGCTGTATTGAAAGTGCATATTCTATCTTACCTGTTTTGAACAGCTGCGTACTTACCCCGCGATTTGTAAAGAGGTAATTACCAAATGTCCGTTTGCGTAGCCAATGGGAATGGACTCAGTGGGCACCTACCTTCCATCCCACCCGCATTGGCTTGAGGTTTCAAGTCCCTACACTCGCTTGCAATTTGCCTCTGACTGAAATTGCCTGCGGCCGGCAGCAGCGGCCTTCGAGGTCAGATGAGGTCAGATGGCTAGGTAGGCCGTGCCCAGCATTGCGGCTCGTTACAGTGGTGACACTTAATGCTGCCGTCAAGATGAATTTCACGGTTGGATGGTGGTGTTAGAGTACACACAACAAGCTCCACACAACAACTACTGCTTAGCCAAACGAAACAAAACGGAACGAAATCATGCTGAAGGCACTGACCTTTTCTAGAAATAGCCAGTTCATGGAGAGAACAGGTACCTCCGTGCCGTTGAAGCGCAGTCTCCTGTCAACCCACATCTGACGAAAGTAGCAGTCCAAAATAAACTCCTGGGAACATGAGAGGCACACGTATTTCCGCTCATACACTTAAGATTACGACAGTTTGCTATGCAGATATTGTAAGGTGACACTTTGAGCATTTTCGTGTTGTGACATTCGGAGGTCTTGATATGTTACGAATAACAGAACGAGTTTTAAGTGCTTTTGTGAACAAGATCGCAGCTAGCCTTAAACGTTTTTGGTGGCCTTCAAACCTGCCTTCTTCATGAATCAAAATATGACGCAACCCCAGTGAGACGAACGCAATGCTGTTGGAACGGATACGGACCACAAATTTAACATGCAAATGTCTGCGGGCTCTGCAAATGTGCTAACTGCCAGACTTCCGTCACCTTCCACGAGTGCTCACGAGATGACGGTGAGTGACGTACCTCGTCTTTCTCCGATATTGGTCCCAGGGATTTGATGACCAGGTTGACTCTGATTTCCGTTGGGGCGCCTGAAAAGCATACTAATTGTCAGCATGCCACATCACTAAACGCTGCTGTATGCACGTCAGTGCATGCGAGGCTAAGCCCGAGAAAAAAACGAAGCCAATGAACACGCGCAAATGCCATATTTGCTCATAGCAAGCAAACGCAGTAACGGCTGCGATGTACTTTAATTTTGCCGATTGAGTCTGGCGAGGAAGAAAGTGTTTTTAGTGAATAACCATAAGCACAGTAGGCAGGGTTTCGTTCAATGCTGCCCATCATTAAGCCACTGTAAAAATCAAAGAAGTATCCCACTAAACCTTTTCCCTAGCCAAACTAAAGAACTTTCATCTGCACAATATATATATATATATATATATATATATATATATATATATATATAAAGTATAACGAATGAAAAGCATTCATGGATTATCCTTCTTAAAGCGGGAATGGGTATGAATGGGAAGCGGAAGTGAGCGACATTAACCTAGCTTGCAAAAAGACCGTATATTCTGGCCGCAGATCATCGGAGGTCGCTCTCAGTCCAACTCCCGAGGTGAAGCTTTGAGCACCAGCATTCAACAGCTATCGACTTTAAGATTAGATTTAGAAGGCCCAAGCGCCAAAAACTTGCTAGCAGGATCTTAAACATAAATATTACAAATAAAACAAGGAATCTTCTAACCGTGAGCTCACATCTGTGCTCAATTCCTCACGTGCGGCATTGCTGCTTCGACGGGTCTTCTCGCTCCATGACTCCGTGGCTCTGACGTCATCGAAAGCAAACCTATGATTACGTTTCCTTTAATTCAGCTGGAGTATCCAGCATTACAGGGTTACGCTGGCTGTTCATGTGATACGTGAGCACCCTCCATGAGGACTAACCGTAAATGCGGTGCATTGCGTGCACAGATCCCTCGATGATCTGTCACTGTTGGCGCGAGCCGTGACCGCTGCCAGTCACGGCTGGCATGGTGGTCCCGAAGCCACGGGAAGATACTTATGTTCATATCCACAGAGACCAGCGCCTTTTTGGAGTCCAAAATATCCGGCAAAGACCAAGGAACCAGTACTATTTTATTAAATATGGGTTCACCCATCTCCAGCCCTATTCACAGCATCGAAAATAACTACTGACTGGCCCGGCGGAACAATGAGAGGCGACAATAGCCTTTATTTAGTCAGCGACCCAATAAAGCCGTCGAGGAAAGCTGTGGGACCCGAACGCCGCGGACCGTCATTCGCTGGCCCGACACTCTTATTTGCCAATCGACCTCATTGGAGAGGATAGCAGTATCAGTTGTTGCTGCGTGTCGTTCGTCACGACCTCGACAAAGGACGCCGCGCTCTGGCTCGCTGGGCTTCAGCGAGTTTGACGTCCCCCGGCTGACCGTCATGCCGGCGGCGTGGTCTGGTCAAACCTCGACGTTTCGTGGTGTGTGGAGCTGGGGCCTGCTCATAAGCTTCGTCGCATTCTCTTGGGAGGCGGGCACCATCCACAGGTAAGTTAGCGGCTCGCCACGCCGGGACACTCGGCCAACTTATACGGCCCTGCGGCCGGCAAAGTTTTCCAACGCCGTCAAAATGTTCCATTTCTGAAGTCGGCGCGCATCGCAAAGTTCGTGTCCGGCGGATGAAAGGTCATACTTTGATGGGAGCGTGCCCAAACATGTCCGCGGCAGTGCCGGCGTCCGGCGGGTTGCCGTGCGGAGGTTCTGTAGCCCATTCGTGATGCCGTTGCGTCGTCCATTGCTGGCGTAACGTTAGCTGCGTGGCTGGCGTTACGTTAGCTGGGTGGAAATTCGTATCAGAAGAAATCATGGATGACAAGGTATGGATAAACGAATTATCTCAGGCTCCTTATATTCAAATCAAACCCTTGTGTCCCTAAAAGCCGTTCTACTAAGTTGCCATGCGAGTGTAGTGCAGGTAACGATAAGACAATGTTCGAGGTACATCCTAAACTTAAACTGTAGGTCGTGTGATACTCCAATTATAAACGCTACCTTATGCGTCATCAGCTTGCATATCGATAATCATACTGCGCTCTTCTATATCATTAATGGTTTCTGTCTGGACGTGTGTGCTTCTCGTGCGTATTTCATTTAGTTTCAAATTTCGTAGTCTTTCGCGTTTTCTGTCATAAGTAGCGTCTCTCAGTATCTACATGTAAATACCATGACCTAGTGCTGTGCGCGAGGCCACCGTGAGAGGCAATGTTATCGTTTAAACATTTTAGTTTTTGTTAGTGGAGGAGATTCAGAGCTGGTTAGGACGACGCAGATAGTGTGTATGTGGTTTGCATTCTGTAGATATTGTATTGTCATTGTCACACATATGTAATGCATCGTATTTCGGTTTCCCTTCTGCCACGAAATGGAAATTTGACACTGAAAAATAGTTAAACGGAATACCAATCCAACCGGTTGATTTTGTCTCGGTCTTTAGTGTCAAAGTTATAACATAAATCAAAGCATCCGAAACCCAAGCCAAATACCGACGAAACCAGATAAACTGCACCAAGATGGCCCGGCTCAGATCAACAAAATGTCTTCGCCTTAGCATCATCATCTGCTGACACCTATCGTCACTTCAGCAGTCCAGCCTCAGTCTTGGCAAGAATTCGGTCCACGCTGTTCCCCATGCTGTAATCGTCGTCTCGCAATCTGCATCTTTTGTTCGTTCTGTTATTCTTGGCATCCGTCCTGCTCGACCATTCTATTTTCGCATCCATCTTGGTCCCGAAAACACAATCTGACAGTTCACTCGATCTCGCTCGACCATTCTAGCCCGGGACAATTAACGACAGATGGCACGGGCCACGACAAAAACCGAGCTGCGGCACTTTGGGAGGCGTCCAATCTTCCATCCCGTCGTCCCGGCGCTGGCCAGACCTTGCAGCTTCGCACCATCACCAGGCCGGCCAGCATTCCCGGAGACACCCCACTAACCGTGATTCAATAAGACACGAGCCTATGCTCGGCTCTTATCCCGACGCCAGGAGGAGACGGAGCTCTCGCGATCGCGTTTCGGTGGCATCATGGTTATCAAATCTACAGATGTGCCTGAACCACAGTGAATTTCTTACGTGCATGAACTGCTCAAATCCGAGCTGAAGCCCATCTTTTGGACCAGTCCACCGTCGACGGCAGTAAACGCATGCTTCAAGGCGAATATATTGGGCGTCTATCCCTCGTTTTTTCTGCAGACAAATGACATTTTCTTGCGGCCAAAAGCAATTCATAGGCAAAGTTATTTGAGGTCGGACGACGAACCGGTCACGCGACGTCACGCGCTGCTGTCCTGGTCTCCTGGCGCCACGTATGACAAAACCATCCTTGAGCCCGCTACTTGCATACATTACTTTCCATCTCACTTCGTGCAGGCTGTTAAAAGTAAGGATAGACCGGGTAGATAGGTAAGGCTAGTCCACGCATCTTTGACGTTTTTCTCAACAAAACCATGTCATAACTTACCAACCATAGCCTAGAAATAACCATAATATAGCCCATGCAGGTTTGGTCTTTCCCGGCGTTGGCAAGTTTCATGTGCTACTCGTTACCACCATCGCCCGCGAGATGCTCATGAGTTTTCAGATAAATGAGCTCAGTTTAGAGACCTGGCACCTCCTGAGCCGTGACCAGCACCTCCTGAGCCGCGATCCAGCTGAGCTCGAAGCGGATCCGACATCTACTGAACCCTGTGACAGATAAGCTCAGTTATCCGGCATTCCCTGAACTCCCTGAATCCCTGATATCCCTGAAATATAAATAAATAATATAATATAATAATCCCTGAAATATTCCCTGAATCAACCGGAGTCCGCTGAGTTTTGAATCGGCCCACCTGCAGCTACATACCAACTGATCGGCTCTATCTAGTGAATTGCAGGAATATAGGTTCAGTTTCATAAAAATACACATTATGTGCTTCTCCAGAAATCAAAACATCTCATAAAAAGCGTTTCTATGCACAGGACGTAAAACGCGAATTTTTGTTTGGTTTGTACCTAATGTACTTAGTTCGTATAGAGAATAAACGTTAAACGGATATTTGGGAATTTGGTCATACCAATGTGAATAAACAAGAATTGTTTGTCTTGTTTGCGATGAAGTGAAAGGATTCAAAATGCCCCCAGATACCAAGAGATTTGAAAACAACGTGGCATTATCATGGCATGACGGAGAGATGACTACAAATTAGTTTAATTAGTACACCTGTAGTTTAAAGGTATCTAGAATCTAAGTCTCTGCCTGGATGTTGTACGAATGTTGTACGATAAAAACCGACGAGCCAAGGAAGGGCAATTTTATTTCATGACCAGCTGAGTCATTTTGACTCCACTTAACTCCAAATGACATTTTAAGGTTAAGACAGCCAATCAAGTAAACGTATACATGTAGGATCAGTTGACAACCTATCCAAGAAGTGTTCGGATCGGAAAAACTATAATGACTTTGAAACAGTCTTAAGGGTACTGAGCTAATTACCTGGGACCCCCCTGAGCCCACCGCCCAACTGTCACAAGAACTGGGTGTAACGCGAGCACAGTGAACCCGATCATGAGCGAAGATGTCACCACTATATACCTACAAGATGTGGACTTGCTAGAGCCTTCCAGCCCAATATGTAGATGGCTGGTTGATGATTGAATCTCTGTTCTCTGTTCTCTGCTCTTCCTGTTCATGGTTGAATGGATAAGCGTGGAATTCTTGCAGCAAGGGCGGTTGTTTCGATGGAGCCCACATTACCTAGAGGGCAGCGTGAGCGGTAAAAAAGGAATTGGAAAGCCAACGTTCCCGACTTGGTAGAGGACGGGTCATTGCAAAGCAAAAAAACTAACGCATGGTGCACAGCGTGCGTACTACAAACCCAACGCCTCGGGTTTCCATAGTCATATTCAGTTCGAGAACCCCGACGACAGCGTCATGGAAATAAACATCGAGCGATGCCGAAAGGTGTTCCACATGTTCTAAATTTCGTTAAAGCGGGTTTGTGTAGATCGTTACGCCCAACGGCGCCA